CCTAGGATCAAGGTAAGACTAACTGGCCTATAGTTTCCTGGGTCCTCCTTCCTCCCTACATAAATGATCCGTGTTCTTGGGGAACAATGACCATATTGACATAAAAAAGGCAACTGCAGAGTGGATCCCTCTTGGATTTTGTGGCTTTTGCAATACAGGGAGGGAGGCAAAAAATAAAACAGTCAAGTGAAAATGGACAAAATGCAAATTGCAATAGAGAAAGAAATGTTTATATTTCTAAACCCTGGACTAAAAGGAGGCCTCCTAGACTACCGCATTCAGTCCCTCATACTTGTAGGCAACTACTTGCTTGATGAGTCTTTAACAGGAGTGTCAAACATAACAGCAGCTGTGTAAGCCAATTTGGGAGTATGGCTCCCAGTGGGTGTAGCCTGCATAGAATCTTGGCCCCTCATAGACATAGCCATCAGCCCTCAGTAGCCCTAACTGTAATTCAGGGAACTTCCATCAGGCTACCATACACCAAGACTATTGTAGGGAGAGAATTATATCTTATACTGCAGAGAAAGGCACAAGACCCCATGGTCTTTGTCCATCTGAACTAGCATTCTTCACAATAGGGGAGAGGAAGCAAGAATAGAATACACTATTCCTCTCTTGGCGATATATTTTTTTGGGGTCAAATCTGGCGCACACTCATATAATCAAAGACTCCCACTGACTTCAGTGAGATTTGAATCAAGTCCTTGAGCTTTTTAGATTTATGTAAAACTCTCTTAGCTTTTTATATTAATAATCTGGAGGTGTATGGAAGGACAAAGTATACTTACTGCTCCACTTAGATCACTTTCTCAACGTATTCCAAACAGCAAGAGTAATGCTTATTTCTTCAATTCTAGAAGGGAAAGTTTTAAAGACAGATTACGAGTTTAGAGGTGTGACAGATCTGAAACATTCATCAGTTCCTTTTAATGAGAATCCAGCTTTATTTCTTTAGCTGTATTAAGCATACTATTTAAAGTGCTTTAACTAATGCAAGTCGTCACAATGTGTCACAACACTTGTCAGACTACAAGACAGATGTGGCTTCTAGAAACTGTGATTAAGAATGTCTTTCAAAATGTCTCACCCTGATTTTTCCTTCTGTCTTTTCCCTTAGTTCCACAATGACCCAGCTACTATTTTTTTTCTTAAGCTTCACTGGATGTCCTTACATTTGCTTGGTAAGGAAAGATGTGCCTGGCTTTAAAGAATAAAAGGAACTGAAGGTCATTTATTATGTTACAGCAATGAAAACACTCATCTACTGGGCAACTAAACTGGAAAGAAACATCTTGAAGTCTGGCTACTTTTATAGAATTCACAGAAAATAATTTTCTACCAACCACACTTATATTCTTGTGCTCATATTTTATAAATTGCTAATGAATGTGTAGCAAGTGGTATATCTTTAGCAAATGTCTTTCTTTTGTAATGTTGTTTATATTAATTGAAAAAAAACAATTAAAAATATACTCTTTCATCTTTCTACCGCAGGGATCCTCCTGCAGTAGAAAAACCTTCACCAGATACCCTCTGTGCTTCTACAAAGCTAAGTTTTCCCTGTAGCAACAAAGTTTTTTGTTATCTTCATCAGAATGAATTGAGTCTGGTACTGCAGGGGATATATTGCCTAGTATGTACCAGTCTTGCCTTGCAGCTTGCTGTGCCCCAATCTGCCAGAAAGGGGAAGAGACTGGGTGTTCTATTTTCTTTCCTCTTTCTGTCCCAGCTAGAGAGAGTTATTTGCTAGCCTTCCAATCTCAGGACATCTTTTGCATTGTTTGCATTTATAGCTGAAGGTAAGGTAATGCACCTTATAGACTAATGTCTTTCAAAAGCCTGTACTCGTTATGTACTTTGATTAGTCTGCAAGGTGCAAATTTACCCTGCCCTTCCACTCAACTTCAGACTCACACAGCTAACTGCGCCTCTCTGCATTTATAGCTGACAGTGAAGAAATAATGGAAGAGAAACAGGGAGAAAACATCAAAGCCAGAGCCTGCAGCAGCTGCCATGCATTTTGAGAGAGCTCTGACTACTAACATTGCCAGCTTTACCATCAACACCCCTTTACTCCCCAGCTCCCTGCCACCCACCCCAAACCCCTCCTGCAAAATGCTGTTTAGATGTTGGGATGCTAAACCTGTTGGCAATTGAGAGACAAACATCTACCGGCACGTTTGGTATCAAAAGCCTTATGGCACTGAAGTGTACTTAACTCTATTAGTCTGAAGTCAAGGGCAAGGCAGCATAGATCTGCACCTCTGGTTCATCCTAACAGAGATATCAACCTGACCCTGCAGGGCCCTGCTACATGTTCAGATTATAGGTAGTTTCTATTCAGCTTCAGAGTTGTGACATATTCAAGTGCTAACTTCACAGCTACTTGCTCTTTTTATAGCTGGACCGTCATTTTTCTGGTGTGATCATTACATTGCACATGTGGGTAGTCTAAATTTGCTGCAATTCACCAATTAGCTGCGTAATATACCCAATGCCTAGCAGGGGCCGTGGGCTGGACATGGCTGGCTGGGCCAGCCTGTAGGCACGGGTGGCCTAGCACTGTGAAGCGTGCCAGGTGCGGGGCCCAGCCTGCCCCCCGCACGAGGAGGCACGTGCCAGCCCTGCTCCACAGCAAGCCCCTGCCAGACCGGCTCCCTTAGGTGCTGGCTCGGGGGCAGACCCAGCTCTGGTCACCACATGCGTGTGCAGACAGCCCCAGGCATGGGGGCTAGGGGCCTCAGGGCTCCCAGGCTGTGCGCCCAGCAACCCGGGCGCGCGAGGTGCAGCCCTCCCACCCCCCGGTGGCAACGCGGCGGCCACGGGCCAGGGCGGGGGCTGCATTAACGTCACAGCGCCCCCACCAGGCACCTGCCGCTCGGACCCCAACGCGGACCCCCGCGCGGTGTCACGGGCCTGTGCGCATGCGCGTACCCACAAGGGCGCGGCTGCCCCCCTGGCATTAACTTTTTCTGTCCCGCAGGCACGGGTCGGCGGCCAGGCGCGCACTGACCTGCGGAGCCGCCGAGCCCCGTGCACCGCCCAGCGCCGAGCTCTGGCAGCTGCCCCGGGGAGCTGCCCCTGCTGCACCCGGTGCGGTCCAATCACAGCGCCCCACTCGCCCCGCCCCGCCCCGGCGACTGGCTGAGGCGGCGCGGGAGTGAGGCGGTTGGTGACGGCGCCGTAGGTTGCGTGAGCGCACTGCGCCCCCGTTGCTTCGTGAAAGCTACGTCACGGAGCAGGCCGCTCTGGCGACGTCATCAGCGCCCAGTGTTAAGGGGCAAAGTCTTCCTTTGAGAAGGCGCCTGCCCCGGCATCCCCGAGCTGCCAGACCCGGCCAGGGCCAGGCTGGTGTTTTGAGAGCCCTTGGACTGAGGAGAGGGAACGCGCACTCACAGGATGGTGTTACACAGTGGGCACCGTGCAGGAGCGCACACACACACAAGGGGGATGGTGTTACACACAGAGCATAGTATTTGGCACGAACAGCGTGGATGGTGTTACGCACACACCCTGGGATGGTGTTAGACAATGGGGATGGTGCACACACATGCACCGAATGGGGCTTGTGTTAGACACACGCTGTGGATGGAGTTTAACACAGTGTGGATGGTGTTACACACATGGGATTTTGTTTGACACGGGATGGTGTTACACACACACACTGAGGATGGTGTTAGTGGGGGTGGTGTAGAAGCACACACGGCAATGGTGCACATGCACACACACTAGGGATAATGTTACAAGCACAGAATGGGGCTAGACACATACGTACAATAGGGATAGTGCCTCACACACAGAGTGGGGATGGTGTTACACATATGCATGTGGTCGGGACAGTGCTAGAAGGGAAATGGGTTGTAGGTTTGTATGTCAGGTTTTACCATTGATTTCTATGGGGCCAGTATTTCACATTTCGTATTTGGGCGACTAATGACTCCTAAAGATGGTAGCCTAACATTGAAAATAAAATGAATCTGGAGATTTATAGGATATTTAGAACTACAAAAGGCACCCCCCGCCAACCCATTTCCCTTCTGACGCTGTCCACACCGTGTGTGTGTGGGTCAAAAATCTCATTGCTATTGCCATGAGAGCTGGTGTGCCCTGATTTAATCTAGAGGTCATTTTCTGCCCCTCACAAAAATGAAGGCTTTCAGGAATCTGAGAGCACCCTGATAGGATTGTTTCCTTGGTTTAATTTTAGTCCCTCCTTTCCCAAGGGGGGGGTGGCTGGAGGAGCAAGGCAGGGAGTGGCAGAAGTGCCACCCCGAGAGGGGAGCCCGTTGGTGGGCAGGTGGATGCGAGGCACTGCTTGAAGGAGGTCATTCAGGGTCAGTGCTGTGGAGGCAGGGTCGGCAGCTCTCCAGCTCTAGGCCTGGTTCTGCTCTCGCAAATTAATTTTGGTTCCCTCTGATTCACCCAACGTTCAGCTCTGAGGCAATAAAAGCAGTCACGTTCTCAGCACTTCCTTGCACATTCATTCCTACACGACACACTGAGCAGCCGAGTTCCCCAGTTCATGTCTTGCGGCGCCAGGGGAAGAGGAGGTCCTCAAGCAGATACCACAATCCAATGTGTCAGCTCATTTTGCCTGGGAGGGAATAGGGAGGAGGTGGCAGGGAAAGGAAAACTGGAAGAGGTTAGAGGTTTTTTTTGAGTATCTTTTCATTTTTCACAGACTGAGGGTGAAACTATTTCAGCTGCCCCTTATACTAAATGCTATGGGTGTTTTTTTTTAATTAGTTCTTAGCATGCATGTGCCAGCGCAAGACAAGAGCAGGGAAGTTTGGAGGGTGGACATAGTGAAGGGAAATGAGGATGTTTACTTGCTGAATCAAGGCAAAAGGATCCAGGAAAGGACTGAGCTGCCTAAAACTTGGGTGCCTTTGGAGTTACGTGGTATCTAAACAGTGTGCTGTTGGATTTGAGCATAGGCTCAATTTGACCTAAGTGTATATGGGAGGAGGCAGTTCCAGCAGTGGGTGGTACAAAAGAGTGTGGAATATGCAAGACAGGACGTATGGAACATGGGCAGTTGGGCATAGAGGATATTATTCACCAAGTTGGCAGTAGAAAAGAAGCAATAGCAGGGTGAGAAATCCCCAGGCCTCCCTCAGCTTGACCAGTTTACAATGTATTAAAAACACAATGCCTTCTTTACTCGATACGTTTAAAGCATGCTCACTAACCCCTTCCAAATCCTGGCCTACACAGGATCTGAAGGCAAGTTTGAATGCATCAGGGAGACAGAGACAGTAGAATCGGGGTGGTAGGGAGGAAGGGAAGGGGCTATAAGGAGGATGTCTTTCTGATGACCTCTTAGGAACAAGAATAAATGTAGTTTGACAGTGTGTCGCATCTGCCACATCTGTCTCTGTATGCAGAACTGAAAAGGGCTTTTCTCCGATATCTTTTATAATGTAAGTGTTAAAATGCAATTTGTTTGAATGGAGCATTACCAATGTAATGAATGTGAGGTTTGGCTATTGACTTCTATGGGGCCAGAATTTCGCATTTCATATTTGGGGGAAAAATGGCTAAGAGTTATAAAGATGGTAGAGCCTAAAATTAAAATGAATCTAGAGATTTATAGGATGTTTAGAACTGCAAAATTCATGAGTACATGCTTCTTTACCTCTTTGCACTCTGGAAATGTTAGCCAGATGTCAAAGCAGTGATTTGAATCAAAGCCATTCTCTGTTCCTTGTCTATTTCCAGCTCTTTTGTGTTGTGCCCAAGCCCCATGAAGTCAGTGGAAAGGCTCCCATTGATATCTGTGGGACTTAGTAAATTTTGGTGCTCTGTTATTGAAACAAAATAAATTGTAAGTTCCAAGCTAAGTTCCAAAGTCATACATTAAACCCTTCTGCAGTTTATTCATTGTCATGTACATACCTGAGAGACCTATCTACATGAATGCTGTTCTCATACTACATAAGCAGATTCACATCCCAGTTATTTTGGTGGGTTGCATAACCATTTAGTGTGTATGCTATTTTATTAAAGTCTTACATGTTTCATGGAGCAATCTGCTTTGTATATATCATAAGAACACAGTTTTAAGGGACAATGTCTTCCTTGAAAAATATGTCCTACCCTTAAATCCCAAAGAAGTTAGACAATGTTATATGTCCGATCTCATTGCTTTCTTTTTTTTAAAGAAAAAAATATTGATTTAGTGGGGTGAGGATAGTATAAAGCAGTGCTTTCTGTATTTATTTTTATACTGGTAGGATTTAAAACTATGAAACCGATTTTCCTTCTAACAGTCAAAAATAAAATTACCATTGCCATGGGATATAATCTAGAGGTCTTTTTTTTTTTTTTTCTTACAAAAATACAGGCTTTCTGATAAATGCTGGAACAAACTTACAGCATTGTAATAGCATTGTTACCTCTGTCAGCGTTGCCTGCATGCTTTAGGAGACACTGGTCCTAAGAGTTGTCAGATCAGGCTAACAGGGTTCAGTGAATGTTTTCTCAAGTAAAACAGAAAATAGAAGACAGTAGGCCAGCATTGAAAAACCATGTCTGAGTATGTATTCTAATGTGCTATAGGAAAGGATAATATTCATCAAAAATGCATGTATGTTGGCTAAGCAATAAGGATGTTGCCTATGAAAAGCAGTGAGGTTAAGTAAATCTGTGTACTCTACTAATGTTAACCCATGTTAACCACTAGATGGTGCATGCACACTTCATTTTGAGAGTATTGAACTAAAAAAATTCGGACAAAAGCATGTCCATTTATTCCATTTGACTATAATTGCTTCACCGCTGGCAGTTTATGAAACTGGAACTTTGCGATTCCACCTGGTGTCATTCCTGACCTATGTTTTTCTGTCTGTATTTCATTTTAACAGTTAATTCCAGGCACTATTTTGCTGAAATGGTTGGAGCCATTGGAATCTGAAAGCAATGTTGCCAAAGCAATGTTGCATATGAGAGTGGACAGTTTTGAACAGATGCTAATAAGAAAAGGATATAAATGTAGAAATGGGTAGGAATAAAATCCTGCAATTTAGTTGTCATGCACAGATGGTTGTTACTAAGGACTTTGATTCCATAGGGCAAAATGCTGACCTCGCCCAATCATTCTTCTATCTTTATGGAAGGCCCTAAATTTAGCAGGCTGTCAGAGATGTGCAGCAGCATGAAATAGTTTCATACAGACTTTAAAAAGGGGGTAAGTTTTATTCAGACATGTTGAATAATGTTTGGGTCCATGATAGGTGCGGAGATAAATCCAGTAGGTCTCTTACAACCTCTCCCATTCCTTGTCAAGATACTAGTGGTGCTAAGAAAATGCTTCCACTGTTCATAGTTAATTCATAGGTCAGGAATGGCACCTGAAATCACCGTATGGTTATTTCTACTTGCAGGTTATGTTCTTTTTTCCTCTTCTTGCCTTTCAGGGAAGGAACCGTCTCTTAGTCTTTTTATACTGCCCATATAGTGCAGCCCATACAATGATGTTAGTGAGGTGAGGTTTTTTTGTGTTTTACTGGATCAACTAAAGTTGGGAGAGAGGATAGACAGCTTTTGGGCTTCCTTAGGTCTCCTCAGAAAGGAGGTCTCAGAAGACTGAGGTAGGGTAGTTTGTGCCTGAAAGTTTGTCTAATCTGTCTCCCAGCTATATAGTTTGTCCAGGAAAAGATATCACAAAAACCCTTGCCTCATGCATTTGCTGGATCATCACAACTACAGCAACACTCCAACTCCACTACTATGATTTTGATTGCAGCCAAAAGTTGCTACTACAGTGCCAATACTATTTCATGAACAATTAATAATGAAATATTTCATCCATCCATCCCATTAGGTAACTCTCTGTGCAAATCATTTTTATGAAATCTTTACATAGGTGTCAACAATTTAGTTTATAGGGTGAATAAGGTAGAAAACCATCTAAGGAACAATTCTCAAAGAAAAGCAGCATTTTGGCGCTGGGGAAAGGTGTCGGAGAAGGTATCAGAGCTTGGTTTAGCCTCTCCAAGTGCCAGCGTGGTATTGCAGTACCTCCCAGCTCAGTGCTTGTCCTGGAGGAGCAACTGCCCATGTTTGTAATGGCCA